ACAACGCCACGTGGAGACAGGAGAGCTCGTGCCGGTGTCCCTCACATGCCAAACAGTCTCGTGCTGTTTTAATCTCTGTGTAAATGTGCAAACAGAGACAATGGTATGATCCCCGCCCTTTCTCCCTTAGCTAAAACGATCTTTACACACACACCAGTTAACTCATGGCAAAAAATGTTCGGCTTTAGTTTATTCTGTAAAAACATTTTTCAGAAGTTCATATACATCAACAGTAAAATAATTGCTGACAACTTGGCTAAAATTTTATAACCACACCTATATGGACACGATATATTAAAAGAAAAATTGAAATTATAAATTCAGGCAGGTTTTAATTTAATTACTGTATTTAGGTGAAAATGAAAATTGGAATAGCACTGCAAATTGGAAATTGAAATTGAGCAAATAATTTTTATCATGGAATTGAAACAAAATAGAAATAAATTCCCACTCTGGAATTCAGAAGTGATTAACCAAGATATTAACATAAATTGAATAGAAAACCCGATCCTTATTCAGTCAGCTGACAATCGTGTAGTAGTTTGAGAAAAGCTCTTCTCCTTGTCTGATGTCCCTGAGAGCGACGAGGACGACACAGCGCAGCGGCCTGAAAGCGAGAAAGAAGCACCCATCAGTGCTGACAGAGCGGGCCATTTAACCAGTACGGGTTCACCTCCCTTCCTACCTTCTTAGTTGATGCATTTGATCTCCATGAGGCAATAGCTGTCCCTGACAGAGGTGTTTAAAAGTAGACTATATGTCATTTAAAAAGACCACTGGCCAATGAGTTTATTTTTAAATTTTCTCTTTTAAAATATATTTTTATTGATATCAGAAGAAGAGGGGGCGGGGGGGAGAGAAACATCAATGATGAGAATCATTGATCGGCTGCCTCCTGCCTACTGGGGATTGAGCCCCAACTCGGGCATGTGCCCTTGACTGGAATCGAACCCGGAACCCTTCAGACCGCAGGCTGATGTTCTATTCACTGAGCCACACCAGCTAGGGCAGATCAATAAGTTTATACAACTGACTACTTCTGAACACTGATGCTCAGGTCCTCAAAACTGGTATCGCAAAAAAAGCATTTAAAAGTGATATTCATTATAAGTTTGGCATTTTAAAATGTGTATGTATGTATTCTGCAAAGCTAGAAACATTACTTGAAATAAATTGGATTAAAAAATACTTTTTATGGACACAACAAGACATGTCATCTTTTTTTGTTAATCCTCACCTGAGGATACCTTTTCCATTGATTTTTTTTTTTTTTTTAGAGAGAGTGGGAGGGAGGGAGGGAGAGAAACATTGATGTGAGAGAGAGACATCGACTAGTTGCTTCCTGCACATACCCTATTGGTCTGGGGATCGAACCTGCAACCCAGTATGTGCCCTTCATGGGGATTTGAACCCGAGACCGACTGTCCCATGTGCAGCTGACTCTCTAACCACTGAGCACACTGGCCAGGGCAAGAGGTGTAATCTTCAATGTTCCTACTCATGTAGCGTTTCCTGTACTGGTTGGGTAGTAACGCGTTATGCCCCAGAGGATGTTAAAGAAAACGTAAATACCCAACACACATGGAGAAAAGTTACCAAGTTTTAAGTACAGGGAACAGTCTTCAGTTTTAAATACCATTCATTTCAAAAGGACACTAGGACCCACACAAAATTAAGTTTGCTAACAAATGGCAACTCAGTGAAATGATACAAAGATTACATTTCCCACAGCATTGTTGATAACTCCACAGAATCATTTATTAAAAACTGTTACTTGAGTATTCTAGTAGACTTACTGGGCAGAAAATTGCTATACTGTAATACAAATGTTATCTTCTGAGTATTTCCCTTTTTTCACTATTTTTAAA